TGTTATTTTTATTAATTTTTTTTAATATACTCTGGAAGGCAATTTGGCGTGTCCTCAAAAAGCTGAACATAGACATTCTGTATGACGCAGCTATTCCATTGACTGGAATATACCCCTAGACAATGAGAACTGAGTCTCAAACGGAGACTTCTACACCAATGTTCATAGCAGTGTTATTCACCATCGTAAGGACATAGAAACAGCCCAGATATCCAACCACAAAGGAATGGATTGAGAAGTTGTGGTACATTCATACACAGCATGCACGAGCAATGGTTTTTTAAATTCCTGCCTAACTTGGGAGGGATTGGAGAGCATATATGCTGAGTGAACTCACTTAGTCCCATAAGGACACATGCTATATAAAATCATTATTGATTTTGTTTCTTGTATGCATTTATACATGTTTAAGGAAACCATGTATTTTTTTTTTTTAAACCATGTATTTTGACAGTGCTTTATTGTCAAAAATAGCAGTCACCATGGTATTCTAGAGTGCAGGCTTCCTGTTCTCCCCGTTACCCACCCAACAATTCACAGACTCAGAAGTTCAAGAAAAAAAAAAAAGAAGTTCAAGAAAATGCCAACACACTTCCTATCCCACTTTCTTACTCCAGCTGCCTATCTCTTATTGGAGATGTCTTTGTGGGCTAAAAAAGTTCAAACATCCACCACGGCTCATAATAAAATAGGAGTTAAAAAAATATAAGACTAATACTCTCTCCTGAAATATTAAGGCACTAAATTATTCATCTTAGAAAATTACTTGCCTTTCAGATACCCTTAGGACATTTCAGTACTGAAATAGACTCCTGGGCTAAAACGATGTGTGTCATGAGACACTTAAAGTTCTTTGGCCAAGGGAGTGATTAAGAAACATAAGTTAAACTAAGATGCCAATGCTACTGCTTTCTGTACATCTCTATATAGCTTTCTATACTTTTCCACATGGAATCAAGGCAAAACAACTGGGTTTAAAGTCGTTAAACCAATTGCCATCAAGTTTTATTTCGACACCACTATGTCAGAGTAGAGCTAAGTGCCGAAAGGGGAGGCTGTGGCTGTGTTCGTGGAGGTAGTTTACTGGGATTTTTTTCGGAGGTGCATGTGAGTGAATCCAAATCTTCAAACTTTTGGTCAGTAGCTAAATGCAAGAAGTGCTTGCGCCAACTTTGTTTTGAGAAGCATAACTGGATAAAGAGAGCTCATCTGGCAATACCAGGATTTATAATGTTTACAACAGTCTCCAAACAGCAAAGTAGCTCCACTACTTGCTGTCATGCACTTCTGCCAACTTTCCTGAAACACTGTATGGATCATGGGGTGGAGAGACCTAACCATGTCCAGGAAGAGTCATCAAAGTAATTGCTTCTACTACTTGCTAATTAAAAAACAACAACAAAAACAAAAAATAACACTTTAAGTGGAGGTGGGAAACTTAAGTCAAAGGAGATATAAGAGGTAGTGGGGATTGTGGCAAACCAGAGAGAGAGCATATAGGTGTTGCTAAAGTAACTTAAACAAAAACATTATGTTGTTATTGTTGCAGGTGCTGTCAAGTTGAACAAGACTTATAGTGACCCTCTAAACAACAGATCTGAACCCTGTCCTATCCTCATCATCTCTGACACACTTGAGTTCACTGCTGCAGTCACTGTAACAATGCATCTCATTGAGGGTCTTCTTCTCTTTCAATGATTCACCACCTTTTTTTTTAATTTTATTTTATAATTTTTTTGTTTGTGTACCATCAAATCGGACCCGACTGGTACAGGAAGAGATTGCCCCTCCTTCCCCAGCAGTGCATCTAGGGGATTTGAACCACGTACCTCTGTGATTGAATTTCAGCCTTTTGCCACTAGGCCACTAGAGCTCCCTTGACTCTCCCTCCACCTTTCTAACTATGATATCTATTGTTGCATAACAACAGTATGTTATCCAATAAAAGAAATTTTCCATCTCAGGACCATACAATTATGATTTCTACACTGCTAACACAAGGGCTGCAACTTATGGTGGTTCAAATCCAAGATCAGTTCCTTGGTAGAAAGATGGTCAATCACCTCCCATTTGATTCATAGCCTCATAGCTATGGAGGAAGTTTAACTGAGTCAGTTTTGACTCAACTGCAATGTACAAATCTTCTGTCACAGAGCATTTCTTTGTGGCATTAGGAAAGAAACATCATTAATGTGAGATAAAAGGGGCCCTTTAGAGTAGTGAGAGAAGATCTTCACCCTGAAACACACAGCGTCCCTTTTCAGCAGGAAGTAGCTAAGAGAATACGCCATCCCCTTTTCCTTATGAATCAGGGTGAAGTCTCTCTCAGGGAGAAGTGATAGGGAATGGCAAAGGACACACCAACAAAGGAGATTAATCAGAACTGACTTTGACAAGCACTGGCAACTGGACAATTAAAACAGACATTCGGATGGCGGGGAAGAAGAACAAACTGGGGAGGAGGGTAGAGAGAATGGTGCAGCAATGAAGGAATGAAAACCCAAAATCCCTGTAAATGTTCATTAAAACTAATAAAATTTAATAATAATAAAAAAAAGAGATGATTAGAAAGAACCGGGAAAAAAAAAAGTCAGCATATAACCAACTTTCTTAAGAAGATAATTAGGATCAGACATATACTAAACACTGTTGTTGTTGTTGTGTACTGTCAAGTCAGAACTGACCCACAGCTGACCCTCCGGTGGGTTCTGAGAGGCAGTTAATGGCACAGGAGGAGACTTCCCATCCTCTACCGTGGAGCAGCTGGCGGCCTCACACAGCAAGCCTTCCGGATTGTAGCACTGCTTCTTACCACTAGGCCACCAGAGCTCTGTGCTAAACATTAGCAGCATTTAATCATTACCTTATTTGTGGAACTACATTTTGACTATGAGGCTTTTTGTTTGTTTTGTTTTTTTAATAGATGTAACAACAGCTTTTTAGGCAATGGAAAAAAATTGATAGCCATCAATTTTTACTAGAACAGAAATTGTAATAATTACATTAGTCATTGTTATGAATTGAACATTAACTAGGTTTATTTTGTTCAGTGCACACCCAGTATTTTCACACATGCCTTTACTTATTTTATGGTAAAAAGGTCAGATTATCTTTTAAACACAGTAAATTTATTGTAAATAAAAATTATTTTCATGCTTTGGGAGGACCTAAAGCTTAAGACATGTTTATAATTTTAGTAAGAATTTACTATGTTTTTCTTACATGAAACTCCTATGATCCAGTTTAAAAGTCTAGAGAACATGAAATACCATTTAAAGTACTGCCAGTGATGTGTAATCAAGCCCAGAGAACTTTCTTACCCAGCCCACGAGGATGGGACCAACATGCTCAGTCGAGCCATCAGGTTTCCTAATATCTCGAAGTTGACTAAGGAGATCTGGCAACAAAACAAAACAAAAAACCAAGTTGAATACTTATTGCATTGGGCATTCAAACTTGAACAGGGGGAGAAGCAGGCTCTGGGTTACTCCCATTATTACACAACCTCTGACTTGTTAAAAGACAACTCAACTAAGGCTGTAAGTCACGAGTCATTCTGGGAACAAATGATACCTTCATGTAGAGGGATTAAAGAGTCCAGTGTTCCAAAAATCTGATTCAACTCCTGTTCCGTCATGATGGAGAGTTTCAGCATGGGATCATGATAGGCCTGCATGAGACAGAGAAGAGGCTGAAGTAATCCTTGAAAATCCAAGGAAGCTAGTTGGTAAGGAAACAGCTCCTAAGAGGCCTTACAAATAACGAAGCTCTCTCCAAAACCTGCCCCCATGCCACGGAATGGACAAACGGGCGTGGCCAAAGGAGATGAGAAGCTAGCACTGCCTTGTGCCTACTGTGGCTGCAGAAAACCAAACCAGAACCCAACCTTTTCATTTTAGTATATGATACATCTGGGAGAGGGTGAAAATCCTATGTATGAAACAGACTTATTGGTAGAATGTTCTAAAAGTCATTGAAGATCCTATAGATTGAAAAATTCCTACTCTATACAGAATAGGTTACCACTGGGATTTTGTTCATTTAACCTCTATGACAAAAAAAAAGTTAAATAAAAAGTGATTAGTGCCCGTTCCTACTGATTCAAAGCAAAGATACCAAACTTTTCCCACTACTCCTAATGAATGGAGATTTGAACTAGTTCTTGGAGTATGGGTGTGTTTGGGTGGTTGAAAGGAAAAGGAAGAAAAGACTAGTAAATTGAGGCCACCATGCACAAGAGAATGGCAATAAAACACCATAGGCTGCTGGGTTCAGAAATCTTTGTTAAGGACATATGATCAGTTAAATGACTCTGTCTTCTCCTGCTAGTCCTGTCAATAGCCTAGGTTCTTGGCTGTGTCCAAACAAAACGTGGATGGCCATCTTGTAGGAATAGTAGAAATGTGGCTTTATATGAGCAAAAGGTTGGACTAAAGATTTTTAAGGAAAGGAGACATCCTTCCAACCCTCTTGTCATGCACTGAATCCTATCTCCCAAAAATACATGTATGTGATGCTATAATGTGGAAATTATTCAATGATCTGATAAGCCAGACAGGTATAAATGGATCAAAGGTCAAATAAAATAAGCCTTAGACAATCCCATTACAGCCCTGAGCTGATAAAGGGGAGTTTCTCTTTTATCTCCAAAGACATAAAAGGGGAGGAAAGTGAGCCAAGGAGGACCTCAGCATCACCAGGAGGAACCACTTCTCTTTGGCCTCAGGCTCCTGTACGGGCAAGTTTACAGAGGCAGGGGAAGGCCAAGACATTACTGGGATCTCCAAGGAACCAAGCCTCCAGATGGTAAAAGAAACAAAGGCTCTCCTCTAGAATTAAGAGAACACCCTTCCCCTAGAGAAGGCACCTTGAATTTGAATTCTCCCTTTCCAAACTGTAAGATCCAGTTTTTGTCTGAGGCCATTCACTTGTAGTATCTCTGTAAAGGTCTAGAAACTAGTCATCAGTATCAGCCATAAGACTCTGGGTTTTCATCTCTAGGCCACAGGTTCACATGACTGCAAAGGATTTTGAGGAACGTTTACTGTCAAGCAGTATAGGTTTCTTTCAAACCATACGATTGAAAAAACAAATTTCCATAGAAAAGACCCCAATTGACACAACAGTATGCAAATATCTAATCTGACCACGTCATCTACTTATGGGACTCAAAGGACTTTCTTTCTTTTTCATTTATTAAGTTAGTGATTTGGGTGAAAGTTTACCCACATGACTATTTCTAAGGCACAGGTGTAGTCTGAGCAATCCCACTCTCTCTCCCAGGGTCAATGAGTGCCTGCGTCTGAGGTTTTCAGAACAACCAAAGATATCCGCACAGTCAGGCCTCCAAGGACCCTTTTCTGACTTTCAACAGTGTTCTTTGAAGAGCATTAGAGGAATGTAGAGAAAACCCCTTAGGGTCCCTGGTCCAGAGTTCTAGTCCACCCTCCAGGCCTGAGCTCTCTCCCTCCCTCCTTGGTGTGGAGAGGCAGGGCTTCTCACTGTTGAGTGACTCCACTGAGTCAAAAAGAGAGTGCTCACAAGGTATCCTGTGAGATTACTCAGAGGAAAGGACTTGGTGACTCAGGCGACCCGCCCCGGATTAAAACGTACCTTCTTTGCTAGTTTCAAGTCCTCTATCAAGTCTTCTTCTCCTTGGGAAAGCTCAAAGATGGCCTGTAGGGATAGAGAAAATATATTCACTGAACTTTGCCCTTGTTCAGGAGATCAGCTGTAAACAGGGTCCTTTCTCAGCCCTTGAAGCCCCAAATCTACTCACTTCTGCTCTCTCAAAAGTGAAACTGTCATTGTTAGGGGTTGAAGACTTGATTCTGACTCAACAGGGACCCTACTCGAGAGAAAAGAACTGCCCTACATTACAGGGTCTTCCTGGCTAGTCCTCAAGGGAGAGAGGTGGCCAGGCCTCTGTCTCTGGGGCTGCTAGGTCTCCAATTGCCAATTTTTCTGTTCACAGTCATGTGTAATGAACCACCTGTGCTACCAGCAGTTAATATGCATCAAATACAGCCTGCGGCTAAAACATGTAAAGAAAAGAGTTTGCAAAACTTCTGTTTATTATGTTCTTCTGGGACAAAGAGGTTTCACATATTTCTAATAAAATGACTCATCTGTCTTGTTACTAGAACTTTGGTGCAGTCAGATAAAAGGGAACCATTATAGTGTCTAAAGTGCTTGGCTAGTAACCAAAAGATCATAGATTTAAACTCATCAGGGAGAACGATCTGGAAGACTGCTTCCATAAGATTCATAGCCTTGGAAACGCTATGTTGTTGTGGTGGTGTTGTGTACTGTCGAGTCGGAACGGACCCATAGCTGATCCTCTGGCGGGTTTTCAGAGGCAGTTAGTTAATCAATCACAAGGGACGAGATTGTCCATCCTTCTTCCACAGAGCAACGAGTGGCCTCAAACCATGTGCTTTCAGGATTGCAGTGCAGCTTCTTGCCACTAGGCCACCATAGCTCTCTTGGAAACCCTTTAGGGCAGTTTTCTGTGGTTTAGGATTGACTTGATGGCAAAGGGTTTGGTTTTGTTCGGGTTTTTGCTTTGTTGCAAACATCACATTACTAAAAGAGTTGAAGTTTGCAAAGACAGCCCAGAACTACTGCATTTCTTCAGACTAGAGGAAAGGCTTTGTGTGGCTCATCCATCTCTAGGGCTGGTGGACTAGAAGAGTCTGCTCCCTGGCAAAACAGGTGAAGCAGCTTTTTTATTTTTAACTGAAAAACAAACTTTTGAATTTTGACATTGGTAAAATGTCAATTTTATAAATACAGCCATTTAAGAAGTTGTGAAAATAATACAGAGAAGCCCCTGTACTTCTTATCTCCTTTCATCACTAGGATATAATAATAGGAACAAGCCTATTAAAAAATGCTCCAGGACATTTACGGTCAGCCTGAAGCTTTCTTTGCCTGTCACCTGAAGTCCCCTCTTTGCAAAGGAGGTCACCTCCTGCATGGGTGGTCAGCCCAAATCCTGTCCTCTGCAACTTTGTGAATGGCAGCCAATCAAAAATGCCCCAGCTGCACCCATTGTCTTGTGGTTTTTACCTCTATCAACCTCTTGTCAGCAATTCGATAGCTCCTTGGGGCACTTTGTCAAGGGCCATTTGACTGTTCTGTGTTTTGAAAAATATTCTTTCACTTTCAGTTTTAAAAAACTCTTTTAAGCTCTTTGTTTTTAATTTTTTTTTTAGCTCTTTGTGTTTAATTTTAACAGACTTGGTGTCTTCCCCCCCACTATATTTACAAACCCATTCATATACATGTTTTTCTTTTTAAAAAAATATAATGGCAGCACACAATCTATCCATTCAAGCCTGGCTTTGCCCACCTTCCCACAGATACATATCTGCACCTTTTCGTGTATTTCTACATCTGCCTAGAACTCTATGTGCAGGTACATTCAAAGCAGCTTTGAGTAGGAGACGTCTGGCTCTTTCTGAACTAGTACTGTCATGAACACTATTACAATAAATAACCCTGCACATAAAGCTTTTCCTTGTGTACAGGTGGGGCTTGCAGATAATTCCCTGTAAGTAACTTCTCAAAGAAAAAAATCTAGAAAACTTTAAAATCCCTCATTTGTCAATGTCAGGTTCTTGGTTAAAAAAAAAAATTCTAGAAGTTCCCCTAGATGATGTATCCATGAAATGCTTGGCAGAGCCTGGCAGACAGCCATGTCTTTATAGTGGATAAAAGCATACAACTTTTGCAACTATTAGAAAAATTAGAGGATGCAAATAATCTCCGCACAGAAAATACACTTTATATAAAGCTGAACTGATTGAAGCTCCAAGAACAGACTATTTTAAACTATTCTAGAAAGTACTGGAGTTCATGTGGGTGTAAATGGCTAATGAGCTTGCTAAACAAAAGGTTGACAGTTTGAGTCTACAAAGAGGCAACTTGGGAGAAAAAGCCTGGCATTGGACTTTTGAAAAATCAGCTACTGAAAAGCGTGCCAGAATTCACTTTACAGCTGCTGTCAAAATGTATTAGAAGGCACGTGGTTCGAAGCCCCCAGCCGCTGCTCAGTGGGAGAAGGATGGGCAACCTGCTGGAGGGTCAGCGGTGGGTCGGTTCTGACTCTATGGTACATGACACACAACACCAAGAAGTAACGAAAGTGATTATCTTTGTGAGCTCCAGGAGCCCAAAAAGGCATGTTCTAATCAACCTTCTAAGCAATTTCATATTTTGCATCAGTTTATTTTTAAAGTGGGGACCGCACCCTTCCAGCTGGAGCTGCGTTCTCAGTTCCTTTCACAGGCCCTGACACTCGTGCGTGCCCTCCTTTAGGAGAGGAAATGAAGAATCGACTTGGGGACCCCAGTGTGGAGCCCAGCATGGCTCTCTCTGTTTTTGTTCAAAACACCACTGATTCCATGAGCCCTACACCTACCTCCTGACGCTTGATTTCCTTGGACGTGAGCATCTGATTGACACACACGTCAAAGGTCTCACTCCACAGCTTGCTGTCTCTCCGCTTTGTGCTCGAGGAGGCGGCATTTCGGGACCAGGGGCGAGGGGTGAGGATGTCAGGCCGGCTCTCACTTCGGAAGCTGATGGAGCGCTAAACAATGAGAAAAACAGACTGTGTTACAGCAACAGCGGTGGGATTGGGTAGATCATCTGAGCAGCTTCCTGCCCCTGACAGCACATAAATCCAACATTCACAAGAAAGAGAAGACCCTGCCACAGGCCTTTGGGAAGTGAGACACTGTCTCATGCCTACGTGCTTGAGAACAACTGGACAAGGAGCTACTTCTGTACGTGTGCTGGGAGTGTCCCTTCTGTGCTGTGTGACCTCAATACTAAATGCACAGGAGCATGCCAGGCAAAGCACACACATGAAGGAAGCCCTCAGATAAATGACCAGGTCTACTTTCATTTCCCCCCCTCAGTTGAAAAATTTTTCTCCATTCAGACCAGTAGTCTATGGCATCCAAAATTAAGCAAATATATGCCAAGTACTCCTTACCACCTGTTTCTAAAGAGAATCCCATAGTTCTTGAGTACCACCTCTCATGTGATTTTAGTGAGCTCTCCCAGCCCAGACCAAAGTCCTCCTGGTCCAGGATGGGGTAATACTAAGGACAGTTGTCAGAGTGTTCTCCAAGATTTGATATGTGAGTCATGGGTGAAAGATGGAAAGGACCATTATTGTTTTCTATTCATTGCTCAAGAGATAATCTAAGTGGGGCTTCTTGCAGCAATTCTTTCAGACCACATGGAAAGTCTTCTGTAGGACAGAACACGGGGACAGCCAGAATAAAAGATGGGGAGGGACAGAACCACGGTCAGGGAGAAGAGGAGGGTGGAGCAAGCTGTTTGTGGACCTGGATCCATTGTGCCTGAGGCCACAAACAGCCTTAGTTATATGGCCTAATGTATTTTTTCTGGTCACTTTAATATCAGCTGGGATTCTGTCAAAATAAAGAGTCTCAACTTAAACAGATGCTAATTATCATCTTGGTAGGAAATGATACCTATCTTTGAGGTAGTTCCTAATTTTCAAAGAGGCCCTGGGGGATTATGGAGAGGTCTAATCAAACAAGGTCCACCTCTGTGGATGAAACCTGCTATCACTGTACTACTCATCATGCAGCTCATGACAAATGCACATGATTAGAAAGAAAGTTGAGGACGGGATCCCCACCCTTCTTTTAGATTGCAACATACTTAAGTGGAAATTTGCCAAAGCAATGAAGTATTGTTACACTTAAAACCATATTTTATTTAGCAAGTACTCCCTGTGGGCTCAGTGTGAAATACCAACTTCTGAGCTTGGCTTGGAAAGTCTACTGTAATCTGACTACTGGCTTCAAATCAGTGCATTTTCACCTTCCTCCTATCATTATGCCACCTTGTGCCACCAAAGCTCTCCTAGCCATAAGCCAATTGCTCCCAGACTAATTTGGACATATTTCTACTATAGGAATAACTAATAAATGATTTATTAGTAGCAATTGGTCACCTGTTCTTAATAATAAATGTTTTTGCAGGTAGGAACTAATTTTGCATATGATGTGTAAACTACCATCATGAGTGCATTCTAAGGTAACATACCCAAACAGATTTAAAAATAAAATTTAAGACAGTAAAGGAGAATGTCCTAAGTGAAGGGCATTGTTAAATGAATTACAGTCAGTCAATTCGGTTGAATATTAGTCAACTATTATAACAAAGCAGAAAGCTGGAAAATGCCTTTTATTCAAGTAAAATGTAAATGGGGATTCAGATGTGTAAATAACCACTTGCTAGCTATGCAATAAACAAACAAGCCAATAAAAAAAGAGCAAGTTTACAAAATTCTTTTGGCTTTGTGATAATATAGTGGGTGATTTCTATCTTAGCTTACCGTTTTTTTTTAAAAATCAAGGAAAAATTAACAAATGGGAGATGTAAAAAGAAACCTCCAACAGACTTCAGAGTTTTAGCACAGCTTTGTGGGAGGAGAAAGCTCATTCCATTTGCAAGTAACAACATGAGGCCAGCACAGCCGCTGGGCAAGTTAATAAACTCATCAGGCTTCACTGGACCAGTTCTACTCAGGAGATCAAGGAAGTGTGTGCACAGATAACTAATGATAATGATGTCTTAAAAATTCTTGTGACCTCTTGGAAATAGGCCCTTATAAATAGTGACCAGAATAATTCATGCAGTCCCTGGTACTAAGAATCAGTTAACCACAGGCAGTGAAGTAAAAGGTCAAAACAAGCAAGCAATGAGTCATCCTGCCGCTCATTCCTTTCAGTCTGTGGTTCTGGTGCAGGCGGGGATGGGAGTTAAAGAATAGAAAGAAAGGGAAATGTGAAAAAGAAGATTCAGAATGAAAGTGTTTTCACTTTCCCTTGAAAGAATCAACAACTCACTTCACTGTATTTTCAGTCCCCTACAAACTTCAAATTCCCCACCACTAGCGCATAGGTAATTTATGCTAACTTGAAATTCTCATCCCTTTATAAAAGTGTTATCAAATGAAATACAAACTAAAAACCAAAACCTATTGCCATCCAGTTGGTTCCAACTCAACAAACCTATGGGAGAGAGAACTACCACATAGGAAAACAGTCTATGGAAGTGGATTTTCACATCTTTCTTCCATGGAGCGGCTACTGAGTTTGAACCACTAATCTTTAGTTTAGCAGTCAAGCATTTAATCTTCGTGCCACCAAGGGTCCTTGAAATTAAGTACAATTCCTCCCGATGGCTCCCTCTATCTTCTAGGTCTACTTCCTAGAAGTAACCACTTTCAGTTTGTTCTGCATTTTCCCAAGTTTGTTATATTCATTTTTTTTAAACATTCACAGAAAAACAGATTTTTTTCCCTTTCATACAATAAGGTATCATCTTTCCATGTTGTATAAAATATTAATCCCATTTTTAAAAAATAATTTATTGTGGTGCAATTCTTGTAACATCAAATTGATCTTTTTAAAAATGAACACTTCACAGGTTCTAGGGAATTAACCATGTTGAGCAAATACCACCTCAATCTAGTTCAAACACCCCAATGTTTCTATTTCCATCACCCCAAAGCCACTTGATCTTTAAAATGGCTGCGGAGTCACATGTTCCATGGTCTCGCTGGATGACACTGACTTAAGCAATTTCAACTGAAAGACATGAATGCTATTTCCCACATTTTTTCTATGATGAAAGATGCTCAGAGCACAACTACTGTGCATCTGTGGTAAGGTACGTAGAAGTCCCTGGTCTAAGAGGCTATCAATATTTTAATGTGTACTATATGCTACCAAATTGGCCCCTAATAAGCTGCTCAGCTTTCTAATCCAGAGACTGATGCAACTAGCACAGTTCCCACACCCCTATCAACTGAGTGAGTCTTATCATCAATGTGACAGGTCAAACGTCATTTTCATTTTAGTTTCCTGTTTGAAAGTAAATAGGACTGGAGATACTTTTATGTGTTGATCTGAAAAATTACCCAGAGTTATAGAATTTCCTGTCTTGGTGCTTGAGAAAGAAGTATGAGCCCTAGTAGGTGAGATACATCGTTACCAATGCCGTGTGTGTGTGTGTGTGTGTGTGTGTGTGTGTTTACTGAATGTTGAATTCAGGGGTTCATGAGGGAAGGAAGTTGACCACTTACACCACAGAGGGTCCAGTATGTACTGGCCAGTGCTTAGGACTTCTAATGAGTCCTTATGATCCTCAAACATTCTTCAAGGTGGTGGCTTAACCCCATTTTACTGTTGAGAAGAGTGAGGCTGGGAGAAGATAAGGGACTTGCATGGGTAGAATCCAAACATGTCTGTTGGTTCCAACAGACACTGAATATTTCCATCAAGTGAGGGAACTATCCCCACTGTGTAAACACAAATCGTGTATTAGAGGAAGGTTTCGATGAAATGAGACCCAGCTCCTGACTTCTGGGATTTGAAATCTTCTTAAGAAGAGAGGATGCATTTCCCCCCCCATCAAACAAACACCAAATTTATATCTTGAGGCAAACAACAATAACACTCAACCCAATGCCATGGAGTTGACTCTGACTCACGGTGGTTCTATGCACATGAGCAATTAACAGGGTGAAACTGCTCCACAGCATTTTTCTTGGCAGCAATCTGTACAGAAGTTGAATGCCAAGATTTTGTTCCATAGCCCACTGGGTGGGTCAGAACTGCCAGCCCCGGTGTTAGCAGTTGAGCACAAACCACTTGCACTACTCGTGGATCTCGTCTTCAGCTCGATGGCCTTAAAACACACAGCTTGAAGAAATTCCCCTCTAATCCTATTTTGTTGAGTGTTTTAATCAGGAAAGTGTGTTGGGTTTTGTCAAAGGCCTTTTCTGCTTCAATTGATAGGACCATGTGGTTCTTGTTCTTTGCTTTGTTAATGTGATGAATTACATTGATTGTTTTTCTTATGTTAAACCATCTTGCATACCTGTTATGAATCCCACATGGTCACACACATCCAAAAACTTCTCCAACAGGGTAAAAAGGGAAGCCACAGATTGGGAAATATATTTGGTAATGACATGTCAGACAAGGGACTTATATCTAGAGTTTATAAAATAGTTGAGCACCACAACAAGATAAAGGGCACAGGATATGAACAGACACTTCACCAAATAAGACATTCAGATGGCTAACAAACACATGAAGAAATGTTCAAAATCCCTAGTTCTAAGAGAGATGCAAATCAAAACAACTATGTGACACCATCTCATCCCAGTAAGAATAGTAAAATTTAACAGAACAACAAACATCAAATGCTGGTGAGGTTGTGGAGAAACTGGAACCCTTATTCACTATTGGTGGGAGTGTAAAATGGTGCAACCACTATGGAAGGCTATAGTGGCACTTTCTAAAAAAGTTGCAAAAAGAAATACCATTTGACCAAGCAATTCCACTACTGGGAATTTACCCCAAAGAAACCAAAACCACCACCCAAACAGATATATGCACACCCATGTTTATTGTGGCTTTGTTTGCAATAGCAAAGAGCTGGAAACAACCAAAGTGCCCATCAACAAATGAATGGATAGAGAAGCTCTGATATATTTTCACAATGGAATACTAGGCAGCATTGAAAAACAAGGAA